ATGGGGAGGCGGGGCCAGGGCCGGATGCGGGGGCGAGAGGGTTTTTCCCGGGACAGAGCCGGGTGGGAAGAGGGAAAGTTCTGGAGAGGCTGCCCCGCACACACCGTGTGGATGTGCCCGATGCCACCGAGCTGTGCCCTCAAACGGTTAAACGGTTAAACAGGTCCGGCCGGTGGCTCAGGGCTGAGTGTCACCGTATGAACCGGGGTCACCGTTCGATTCCCCATCAGGGCACAGGCCCAGGCGAGGCTCCATCCCCAGTGGGCGGCGGGGGGTGCAGGAGGCAGCCGAGCCCTGATTTTTCTCTCATCATTGATGTTTCTCTCTCTCTCCCCCTCCCCCTCCCCTTCCTCTTTCTGAAATCAATAAAAAAATTAAAAAGGGTTAAAATAAGTAAATTAACAAGCTAATAAAGAGAAAATGATGTAATAAAGGAACTAATCCTAAAAGAGAGGGCACAGGAGCCGCTGTCAGACAAGGCGAACCCCCAGATGCCGCTTCCGCTCCGCCCCCACCCAGGGCTCCTGCCACCTGCTGCCACCTTCCCCCCCGCCTGGAGTGACACCATGTGACCTCTGAGGGGGGGCGTCCACGGAGAAGAGCTCCTCTGTGCTCGGCCGGCCACGCGGAGGAAATGGCCAGCGTCCCAGCCACAGGCTCGCGGCTGCTTCCTGCGGAGTGAGTGCTGGGCAGGGACAGGCCTGGCCCGGGGTCACTTGGTCGTTCCACAGGTTTTCCGATAGCGCGTCCAGTCTGAGGGAGACAGCGGCTCAGGACCAGGAGGGCGGGAGCGGCCGCTTCCCAGGGAGCAGGAGGGAGGAGCAGCTGACCCGGGAGGGGCTGCGGCGGGAGGAGGGGCCAGTGGGAGCAGGTGGCTGGGAGGAGGGGCCCAGGTGGGAGCAGGTGGCCCAGGAGGAGGGGCCCAGTGGGAGCAGGTGGCCCAGGAGGAGGGGCCCAGGTGGGAGGAGGGGCCCAGGTGGGAGGAGGGGCCCAGGTGGGAGGAGGGGCCCAGGTGGGAGCAGGTGGCCCAGGAGGAGGGGCCCAG